ACACACACACACACACACACACACACACACACACACACACACACACACACACACAGGATCTCCTAGTTGCGGATACAGAACTCCTGACCAATCACAATGAGCATCAGGATCAGGATGTAAGATGAGTTCTGATGAAGATGAAATCAGTTTTTTTGTGTATATTTAGCACTCTGCATGCACATGCTTGCACACGCACACTGTCTCTCTCTCTCTCACACACACACACACACAAACACACACACCTACAGTGGAATGAATCTGATCCACTCTTTTGATATGTGCTGTTATAAATTTTAAGAAGCACACAGCAGGTCTGTTCAGTGACTCTCTTGCAGTCGTTCTCCAGAAACACCCTTCCTCTTTCATTTTTTTTATCTTGTTATTATTATTTTTTAAAACTTGTGTCACGTCAGTCTTCTATGTGAGCTCCTTCTCTATTTCTCCCCCGTACATGTAGGAGTTATATCCGGGCGGCTGCACATACTCCTCAGACTTATCCCAGTCTGTCACCCATCCTGACCCTGCTCCTCCTCCTCCTCCTCCACCGTTGAAACCAGCCCCCGATTGGCTTATGGCTCCGTACTGCCCCCCTCCACGGTACATCTCTTCTGTTTCATTGGCCAGTTCATCCTCGTCGATTATACCGCACTTCTCCTCACTTGTGTCTTCTATGTCTGCCCAAGGCTGCTTTTCTCCTGATGCAAAGAGTCCTAGTGAAGAAGAAAACAGATCAGCAATGAAACTGCGATATTTTAGAGATGCGTTACAAAACACTGTAGAGCCAAAGTCCTACCATAGAAAACCACTCCTCCATAATGAACAAGTGAGGCTATAAGGAAGACGTACTGCCACTCCTCACGCGTCTGAAATGATTCAAAAGGTATTTTAGCACAAGAAAGAACAAGAACAAGTCTCCCTGGTGTGTCTTTACTCATTAAACATCTTGAGCTTTATGTTCAGCTTTGTTGATACACGTGAATGAGTCACCTTGTGTTTGGTCATGGCACCAACTATGAGAGGACACACCATTCCAGATAACGTTCCCACTCCGTTTGAAATGCCCATCAGTATGCTGGCATATCGAGGCGCGATATCCAAGTGATTGACATTAAACCCTGAGTGAAAGAGCAAAAACACAAAATGATTTTTACACTTAGGGGATAGAAAAAATGATATCATTCTTTAAAAACACATTTTCGTCTTAACGACGTTCACTTCAAACAGTTTAATAAGATAATGATCTAATATCTGTCTGTGTGTGAAATATAAAGCCATTTCCAGGTAGTAGCGGGCACAGCTTGTCATCCACAAACCAACTGGGGATGCCATGTCCATCTTTGATATACAGTCTATGCTGCCAATGAAAACACTACAGCTGACTGACAGACTCATGTTTGCAAATTAGGTCATATTTTAAAGTCCTATCAATGTCAAGTTTTATTCTCATTATGAAGCTTTATTGTAATCAAACTGTCAAAACTCATTAATTTTGATTGGTAAATTACCATTAAACAAACTTAACCTAGCTAACTAATATGGCAAATTCATTTACAGTCATGTAAATTGGAACATTTTTAACAGGATTTTATAATACTGTGAAAACCTTCAGAAGCAATAACATGAAATAACAATTTTCTTATGACTTCATCAGTCTCTCACATCAATGTGGAGGAATTTTGGCCCAACTGTTCTTTATAACTTTACAAAGTTAATTGTGATTCGCATCAACTGATTCATACACACCTCTCCTAATGTCTCACCACAGCAATGCTTTCAGGTTGAAGCGTGGACTTTGACTGAACCATTCAAGATCATTTCTTTCTTTATTTTTCAGCCATTCTGTTGCAGATTTTCTGTTCATTGTCCTGTTGCATGACACAATTTTAGCCATGCTTCATCTATCAAACAGATGGCCCCAAATTTCACTCTGTATACTTTGTTATACAGAGGAGCTCGTGGTTGACTCTATGACTGCAAAGTTCCCAGGTGCTGTGACTATAAAACAATGGCTGGGATGAGTAAAGGGGAGATGACACACAACAAAATTAAATAAACCATTGTGCAGATTTCTTTGTTTTTAAATATTGTTGGAAACATTTGGGAAAATGTAAGTAGGGCAACACATGTCAACAGAATCTAGAAAATGTGTCCTTTTCATACTTTTAAGTTAAAACTTTAACGGGAACCAGTTTAGCTCAGTAGTTGAGCTGGTTAACACACCCCACGAGGCCTGGGCTCGATTCTGACCCTTGGTCCGTTGCAGTGTTTCTGCCCTGTTCTCTTTGTCCCTGCTTTCCAGTCTCCTCCTCACTTATAACTATCCAAAACACTTGATTTACCGCTGTCCTGCTCACATTTAAAGCAATACTTAAAATTCCATTGTCTCTCATTAAACCTGACTATCACCTTCATGTAGCAACAGTAACACGACAAGTCAGGTTTTCACCTTACATGTTTAGAACATAGATTACCTGAGATAGCAAATCCACTGAATCCCACCGCCAGGACCAAGAAGGAGATGGCAATACCCTTTGTGTGAGAGTAGCCCACCACCAGCAGGAGGGTGGCTTCCATCCCAAAACCTGTGGAAATTCCAAAGAAATCCACATCAACACAAAGGAATTACGAACACTAATAACAAACCCTGTTGTTACGGTCAAGGCAGTGCCGATATGCCGTAATTTTCAGTGTTTGAAGCTGTACACGTGTTTATGCACACGCTGATTTGACCTTTAAGTTGTGCTGAAATATTAATTTGCTTCTAATGCTGGCAGCTACTGCACTTTAAATATTCTAACTGCAAGCTGCTAAATGCCCCACAACTGACAGCATAATTTCATATGTTTAATTTTAGGAGAACTACAGCATCATTAATAAGTTCATCTTTACACATTTATTTATTTATTTTTGCAATGCTTCTAATTTAGCTTTAATCACTGTGATGTGTCAGAAAGTACTGAAAGAATTGTTTAATTTTTTGCAGCCATTTCTGCAGCAAAAATGAAATGCTATTACAATTTCCAGCTGATAATAGGATGAAGTTTTAGTGAAATAATAATTTTTCCGTTTTCTGAGCCACGGTCTAAAGATATTTAAGAGCAGTTGGTTTGTAGACCTCGGTGCTCTGGGAGGAGTGTCAGATGACAATTGTAGAGTCAGAGAATTATGGTACCCTCATACCCATTTAATAGGCTCTGTTGGCCAACTAAGACGGTTCACCAGAGCTGTATACAGTTATTTAGTTTCTGCTCATAAACCATAAGCCATGCTCTTATGTTTGATAGCCTCACCTCCACAGTTCATGAGCTTCCTGACGTTGGTGGTGGACATCAGGTTGTGGGTTCTCAAGTAGTCAGCCAACTGGCCCCCAATAGGCACGATGATTGTCATCACCAGATGGGGCAAAGCTGACACTATGCCCACCTGAAAGTCATGTATAGGAGAGGCAGACAGTGTGTACATGTGCGTGAAAAAGGCAAAAATAGTGTTTTTGGGGGGGGAAATGAAGGGAGGATGATGACATGTTCAAATTTGTCCTGACCAAGTGGGAAAATTACAGTTTTACTTGCTTTGACCCTACAGCTTGGATGCCATGCCAACTCACCTTGCTGATCTCAAAGCCAAAGACTTCTTCAAAGTAGGCCGGCTGGCTGATGAGCAGCAGGTAGAAGGTCCAGCTCCTGCAGAAGTTGGCCACAATAATGGCATAGACTGGCATGGAGGTGAAGAAGTGTCTCCACGGGGTTTTAAATTTCTACCACAAAAAGTAATAAGATATTAATGATATGCACCAACTCCACCAATTAAGAACTGCAGACTTAGCCAAGTGCATGGGTCTAAATACACATACTTGAAGGGGATTGAGAAATGATGCAGACTCTCCGATCGCATCTTCAATGTATTTCCTCTCCTCTGGTGAGATGGTGGGATGGGCTGCAGGACTCTCGTATGACACCAGAATCCAAAACAAATACCAGAATATCCCAAAGCTGCCTGGGAGAGGGAGAGAGAGAAAGAAAGACACAGACATAGGAGACAAAGGGAACATTTAAGAGAGAACGAGAATGAAAAGGAGTTGTGGAAATTTAAAGAGAATCAAATAGTGGACATTTAGGGAAATTTGCATGAGCAGTCTTGGTGAGAAAGATAGTAATAAAAGTAACATAACGCATATTTGTGGATGAGGGTACTAACCATAGACATAAAATACAGAAGGCCACCCAGTGTATTGCACCAGTATCCCAGCTAAAGGCATGGCCACCACTGCCCCAGCATAGGATCCTGTTAAGACAACACACACACAAAGAAGGCACAAACCCTGTTTATATCTTTCTTTCTTGCACTCAACATGTTTTAGATCCATCATAGTCTTTTTAAACTCTTAAACGTTAGATGAACTTCTAGCAGTTTCATCACAAACGTGTCTTCAAACCCACAGAACCTGTGCAGACATTGTAGATACTGATCTGTGAGGTGACAGGAAGCTGACATTACCACAAAAAGCTGTCGTGGCTAATCGACTTCGCTCAAGAGGAGGTGCCCACTTGGCCCAGATCCCATGACAGGCTGGGTATGATACGCCCTAAAGGATAGAATACGGTCAGGGAAACACCTGTGCATGTGGGAATAGTCCTACACAGAGTCCAGATGTGGACAAAAACTCATATTTACCTCTACAAGGCCCTGGCATATCCTGACAAGTATGACGCAGCTGTAATGGCAGCGAGCGGCAGATGGAATCAGCATGTTGAGCGTCGATGTGGCCACGATGGCAAAGCCGAAAACTCTTAAAAACACAAAGAACAGTAACACTGGCATCAGAACATGAAAAAATCCCAATACATCCCAATACTGGCATTTTCTATGAATGCTGGTTCAGCTGCTTTGCCTCTTACTGTTCTGATTCAAATTATTCTTTTTTCCACACCTAGCATGTATGCAAATTCAACCAGATCTGACACCATAAATGTGGAGATATTAACCTGTTTGCTGCAAATTTTTGACATATAAAGCCACCCGGGATTTGTGTGACGATGTAGCCCCAGAAGAAGGAGCCGTGAATCATCCCCACTGTCTCTGGATCCCAGGTGAACTGTGCAGCCTGGAGAGAAGAAAAAAATTATATGACTTTAGCTCACTTCACAACAGAGGAGATTACCTTGAAAACTTAAGGTCAAGGGCAACTCTGGTTCATCATCCCCAACCACAAAGCCCACGAGTTGGATGTCCCTGCTAAATACATTAAATAGAACCAATGGTTCAGTATCTTGCTCAAGGATATTTCGGCGTGCAGACCTGAGTAGCTGGGGAATCGACTAACAACATTTCGATTGGTGGATGAACTGTTTTAACTCCTGAACCACAGCCAAGGCAAGCTGGCACAGAGCTGGCCTAGACTGCAGGACTTTAGAAAATTTGATATCACTACACAAAGTAAAGTTTGTTTATCAGCAGTTAAGATGATGCCAACATCAAAACGCCTTTATAGAACTTTTCAGCTTTAGTCTAATACTCTAATACATGACACTACTTATTATGACTTATCAAGTCATTTAAAAAGTTACATAATTACAAAATTTTATTCTTCTCCAACCAACTACATTGTAAAAGGGATAGCCTCAATACAACACACTGCATACTGTGATTAATATAAACCATTAGATATATTCCAATGAAGATTTAAAGTGATCCCACAGAAAAAGACATAAGACAGTAACTTTCATTGGTACTGTGAAAATACTGCATGTTACCTGTGTTCCAACACAATTATTGCAGATGTGGCTTAATATCAAATTCATAAAGTAGGTCAATAAAGGCACAGAAGTTTTAATTTCTCTTCTGCTACTCACCACAAGTACTTCCTTGTTGCCTTTGTAGACAGTATGATCATTGACCATGCTTACAATGGCCACACCTAGGTTGCACCTGATGCCAAAGGAGATGCAGAAGCCCAGGCCAGACAGGATGGCGATGATGTACCGCCGGGGCAGGCCGAAGCAGGTGCAGTCCACCACAGGCAGCTCCTTCTCCTCCACCAGCTCAGGACGACCCTCCGCCGACAGCTCAATAGTTTCTCCATTTGGCTGCCGTTTCTCAATCAGCCTGATGGGAGACAGCAGAATATGTGTTAGGCTTTTGGGGTAAAAGTGAACAAAATGGTGCAAAAGACAAAATTCTGTGTATTATAATGTGCTGCAATGAAATCGATGCCTCGGTGATCTTTATGCCTAGCCTCACAGATGATCTGATCTAACAAATCAAAGTAAAACTGCAAAAAAAAAAAGCAGGAACACAAAAGTGTGAGCTTCCTTTAGAAAGGAGCTATGAAAGGTTCAGTCTCCAGCTTCCATGCTGACATCACCGGGAGTTACCAGATTATTTTGAGCCTGTGACAAAGAGTTTGCATCTTTTCTTCATGCATGTTTTAAACTGCAAAGATTTTGCACTCTCTCTCTCTTTTTCCTCCTACAAACGCACTCCTCCAGGCTGACATCATGCTCCACACCGGGGTCACGCCTGACTCAGCACGTCCCAGTGTGTGGAAGCAGCTGTCACAAGCCGAGGAGCTACGACAGCCGCGTCGTCTCTGCTTCAGGATCCAAGGAACCTACTGGTCCTCTCACTCTGATAGTGTCCTCACCACTAAATGCCTTCATTTTTTATGACATCATTCAGCCGAATCTGCTTAACAAATTAGCATTATGTTTAAAACTACAAAAGGAACTTTTGTAGAAAATCAGGAGTTACACTTTACCGAGCTGCAAAGACAGGGGTGCAAGTGTCTAAAATGTGTTTGCTTGTTTTTTAACCGCTTAAAATCCCATGGTTTTAGCCCATGTGAGGTGATCTGCTTGTTTTCCAGGCTATTGTTCAGTTTGTGTGACCATTTTTGTAAAACAACATGTCGAGCATCCCCTCAACAGAAGTCATACAGAGAAGTCAGAGAGCAGCCATCTGTGTATTACAACCTTCATACTCACAACAAAAACACACACACTTCCATCAGATTTAAGTAAACAACACCTACAGATATACATTAGACAAAGTGTCACCATTTTTTCAGTGAATGTATATATCAGTGTTCACTGTCTGTTAAATTTGAGTTCGCAGCAGAGCGAATCATGTGTCCGCCATCCACTTTCCATTGAGGTGATCCAGTTAGCCAGTGAGCTGGAGAATCGTGCACAGAAAAAAGCACAATCAACACGGGGGTCAGGCTGGCGAGGTGACGATGGTTGTGTTTTAAAGAAAGCGTTTCATTGGAGTTCGGGGCTTAAACAAGGTTAGAAAGCAAGTGTGCAAAGTCGAGACAAGTCAGCCTCTGATGCTGATTAATTATTGACCTTTTTTTTTTTTTTAGATAAATTATTTACTCCAGCTTTTACACCACAATCTGCCACCATTTATCCGTCTGTCATCCACCGCTGTCATTATATTTCTTTTAGTTATGCGTGTGAATTCCACTCCCTCGCCCTTTTGCACACAGCACACTCTGTATAATCTCGATATGCATCCATGCAATCTGTCAAAAACAAACTAAAACGCAAGACAAGAAGACAGGTCAGTGCAATTACGAGTATAATTAAAACTGCCTACATAAAGAAATATTCTACTCTTCAGTAGATAACAGAAAACACAATGGAAAGCAACATTTTTGGAATTTGTGAGAGATTAGAGAGGCTGCATCCCATCTCCCTCCCTCCCTCTTAATCTGTCACTACACTAAGATTAGGATTACAAAAATGATTTACTTCCGGAAATGAATATGGATGGACAGACTGACTCTGCTGGGCACGATTCAGCACGTTTCTCCCTCTATCACGGCACGCTGTTGAGTTCATGCTGGTCATGTTTTTTAGTTCTTCTGTAACTCAGAAAGCCTTTTTCAGCTTTTGCGTCAAGCTGCAAAATTTCAGGTTGTGCCTCACCTGTTAGTTAATGGTCTACATTTTTATAGAATGGCCTATCTGACTGACTTGGAAATGGGACCATCATGTGTTCATTGCTGACCTTTCACACAAAGTGTCCTGACCTAAGGACGTGATTTGCAATGTGTTTCCCAGTGGATCAAATACAAGAAATTAAAAAACTGCAACCAAATCCTGGAAGCATTGAAAAGGGCGACGCACGACAGAAGCAAAGTCGTGCACATAAATTTGTTGAATCAGTTGTTCACGCTCCTGCCGCTAAACAAATGTGCTGACTTGTCCCCCCGCGTGGAGCTCCTCCCTCATAGTTGGTGAAGGCTGCAGGAGAATCCTCATTAAACCTCAAGACAGATTGCAGCTTGACACCTGCCCATATGCTAAGAGCTAACGAGGCTACCCCACAGCAAAAAATGGTCGTTAATTACAGATGCTTTCCACTAAAAGGCAGCCTCACCCCCTGTGTTCGTGTACAAAGCTGAAGCGAGGGAATTTCCAGCTTAGAAGCAAAGACTTAAAAGATTCTTATACACAAACTTCTTACTTCTTAACATGCTGACTGGTAAAATTTACCAGCTCTGTGTTGAAGAAGAGACACAGGTTCACAATACTGCTTGCTTCCACTCATCTGATGGAGCTGATTGGTCTCAGCTGTCAACAATTAATGAGCACGCGAGCATGAGCAGGCAGGAGTCCTGCGACCTGGGGCTCTCTGAAATATCATAATTACAATAGTAGCAGGCTCAGTGGAGGCACACGCTTCAAACAGAGCTCATGATTTTCACCTAGACAAAAGAAGCAAAGTCCTAAAACCTGTTTAACCCCAGCGTGAAGACTTCAATACCTCCTGAGTTTAACTGGTGTAAGGTGTTACACAAATTTGATTATATATTAAAAGTATGTTATATGAAACTCCTTAAAACAATAAAAAAATAAAACAGTTGTTGCTAAACTGTGAGTGTTTGTAAGCACACTTTGATTCTGTAATATTCTGTCAGCTTTGATAAAATCAAAGCTGACAGAATATCAACTCTCAGGTGACTCGGGGCCTTTATTAGACTCTGTATTAAAATCACCAATTCACAGAGTATTCGGTGTAATCCTCTCATATGAGGATGATCGAGACTGAGAGTGAGACAGCGAGGGAGTAAAAATATTATATAACACCAGACACCCTGGTGATTATTTCTCCATATTTGTGAGCTTAAATTGATTCTTGATTTTATTCCTTTTCTTTTCTTTTTCTTCTTTTTTTTGGTCTCATTTCAGCATTTTGGAGCACGCAAAGTAGCTTAAAGATTAGATTTTTACTTTTTCTCCGAGCACTTTGTAGTTTTAATAGTGATTTTGTTGTTGTCCCCCTCCTCTCCCATCCTTTGCGAGCCTCTCGCTCTCCCTGAAGTGAACAGATTGGGTCTCGGTGGGACTGTGTCACCCAGGGAGACACCCTCCTCCCCATCCTGTCACACCACTTTTTCTCTCTCTCTCCTGCTGACACACACACACACAGACAGACACACACGTTTAACAGTTACACGTGTGACCTTCATAGACGTATTATCTAAATACTCACACAGTATAACTCAATCGCAGTATGAGTGCTGTCTCCACACACACAACACTTCTTGCTACATTCACCAGAGAACAACACTTCAACAATGAGCTGCACGGGGTCGTAATATGATAATCGAACCACGTGTTAGCTTACATTAAAATATTTCCTCACAAACTGAACAAGTGAAGCAGACACTAAATGCTGAAATCGACAGCATGGACAGCATCGCTGCCAAAAACCAGGCATGCTGAGTCGTTGCAGCTGACTCTCCAAAGTGGCACAGCTATTGTAGATGAATCTCTGGTCATCTGTGAAGACTGTTTCACAAACCTGTGCCCATGTTCCACACAAAACAACAGAGACAGATGAACGGATAAAAGATAAGAATAGGAAACACAGAAGTGTCTCAAATGTGGACTTGGTGTCTTGTAAGATTTTGCCTTTTGTGTTCAAGCTTGAACCTGCTTTGTTCCTTAGACATAGCTTTATCAAGACTAACAGGAAATCCATGACAAAGACATCCTACATATGATACAAAAACGAATGCTAAATGCTGGGATTAAATGATGGCATGCTTTCCTCCCTGTGCTTCACCACAAGCAAACATATCAAATAATTATTTTTTCGCTTCACCGTTATTTGAAAATTTTATTCAGAGCACTTCTGCAATGACACTGAACTGTAGTAGCTGAAAAATGCACTCCACTGCAAGTAAGATGGATTAAAAATGGATTACCTGTCATATTCTGTATTGCCTCACATGTAGTACAGCACAGCCTCTCATTGTGTAGCCAAGCAATCCTGCAGATGCATTTAAAAGTCTTTTAATAAATCGAAGCGAGGCATTTTTATGATAGCGTCTTTGGGGTACTATTAGTAACTTTTGCACACAACCCAAATTAAAACCAAGAAGCAGTTGTGTGATTATATTTCATGCAGAGCTGTGAGAATAGCCAGATTTGGGGGATCCATCTGGAAACGTTATAAAAGAGCAAATAATGTAAGCAGAGATGTGGAGTGACCTTACAGCGCTGAAGTTTGTGCTTACCTAGTGGAGTTTAATATAGAAACAGGAGATGCATTCTGATGGAGAAAATGTTTAAATAATAGATGAACTCCTGGCTGCTTTCATCAGGAGGGATCACGGTTTTGTCTGTGAGGTGGTGAGATTGCACGCAGACACACTCGTCTGCTTACACAGTGCAGGGATGCCCAAGTTTCACCACGCATTCACACATATACAGCTTTATATACACACATGCATACACAAAACCATAACACACTGCTCTCTTATTCTTTGGCTGCACTTGACACATGCAACCGCATAAAACCACGAGGTCACGCTAAGCTGAGGAAACGCCCACTAAAGTCAACCTGAATCCAATCCAACACATCACATCTCTCATGGAATCAGCTGTGGTGATGATGCGCATGTGTGGAACAGTAAGAGAGAAACGAGACAGGCATGTGTGTGTTGATTTAAGAGACCCCAGTAGGCTGAAAGCTGCTGGTGTCTCAATGGATGGAGGATGAGGAAGAAGGAGGAGGAGGCAGTGGCTGGAGGAAGTGACATGGCTTGCATGGGATGGAATGAGTGGGAGGGGAGAGTTTAGGGATTTGCATGGCTCGACAGCTGGACTGCAAAAACAGGCTATTTCAGGACAGGATTTATACGTTTGGTTGCTACCTCAAATCCTGGGAGAGCCAAAGCTTAAAGCAATGGTTATTGCATGAGGTTCTATGATTGTCTTTAATCTGCCTTTTTTTATTTATTTATTTTTAAACTGAAATATTATCAGTACATCAATCTGTGTAGCAACTTTCACACTCATGTGTACTTTATTTACACATATGCAGCACTTTGAAATGTTCATAATCAGAGAGGATTATGAAGCTTTCTTTTCTTTTTTAAAAATAAGTACCTGCATGCACCTCCAAAGACATAAACTATGTACCATACAGGCTGCAGCAGTGACATAGTTGTCTTTTTTATATCGACCTTTCTTATTTATTGGTGCAACTAACAATTGTTTTCAGTCTCAATTAACTACATATAATTTTCTTAATTGATGGCAACAACCAATAATCATTTGGTTTGTATTGTCAGGTAGGAAAAAAATAGATGTGGAAAAACACAGTTTCAAGGAAACGTGTCCACAAGGTTTTGTGTGTTTTATCACGCAGGTGATTATTAAAATAACAGTTTATATGTCTGTCACTCAAAACTCAGCCTGAAATATTAAAAAGCTTTAGAAATTCACACCGTATTTCAGTCGTTTCTATTCATTTCATTCATTTAGTATAATCCAAAACACGTTTTCATAACAATTAAAATGAAATCCTTTCGCTTTAAGACGATCAAACAAACAAAAAACTGCAAATCATTTTTTAAGTCACATTATTTAAAAGAGAAAAAAAACATACGGCAAAAACAATTTGGAGCGCAAGAAATGTAATTTATACCGGGAAACTAAAGATTTAAACTTTCCGGTTTTATCTGGCCAGCGCTTTCATTCAGCCTGGTCGTGCCAAAAACGCACGGAAACATTATGTAACCAGACTTTCTTCTTCTCTCCAACACCACTTTGAGCCTCACAACATCGAACAAAAGCGCAAACAATAAAAAAAAAAGCATAAATGCAATAAAGCATCAAACCACAAAGAAAGAAAGAACAAACACTCTTTTTCTCTCACTGATAACTTCTGTAACACTATGGAGTACCCGTTATGGGCTTCTGTTACAGCGACGACAGTGTGTCATGTTTTTTCCTCCTAATAAACCAAATTATTCAAAATATTATGGATTTCATCCATTATAAAACACTTCTCCTCTCACTTGTGACAATCAAAACTCCCTACTGCGCAAACGCGGACTTCTGTCGCTATTTTTTGTGAAGGGTTAAACCCAACACATTCCTCTACAATTAAAATAAAAAAAGAACCAACTTTTTAAGTGTTAAAAATTACTGCTTGGAGGAGAGAGAGATGACGGATGCACCAACAGCACCGCCACCAACAGCACTGATATGTGTTGCAAGAAAAAAGGCGTAAAAACGCGCACAAATCCGGGGTGAGTTGAGAACATTTGAAATATCAGTGTACCTGTGAATTTTCCCCAAAGTTTTGCCCGCGACCGCCTTAAACCTGTCTGGTCGGATCTCCATCTTTGCAGCTCCTTGACCCGGCCGGTGTGCTGATGTCCCGCGCGCCCTCCTGTCCTGCCCGTGCGCGCGTCTCTCTCTCTCTCTCTCCCTCTCTCTCTCTCGCTCTCTCTCTATCGAGCACAAATCCCTCCTTCACTGCACTGCCCCCTCCGCTCCGACAGGTGTAGGCCTTTCAGGCTCCGGGCTTCCTTGTAAAGGGATCGAAAGCCTCTGGTCGATATGGACTCTCGAGTTGGGTAAGATTTCGTTTATGCTTATTCCAAACAGGAGATATACTCACTGTTGCCCTTAGCGATAGTGCAGGAAAACACGAATAAATAAGATGGTGGAATATGATGTCTTCTCTGTTTTGTGCGTGTGGTGTAAAAAAAAAGTAGCAGGGCTGATATTGTAGTACTCTTTCAGCAGGTTTCTCACACGTGGATTAAGTTCCTTGTCCCAAAATCTATGAAAATCTGAATTCATGTTCATCTGGGGTATTTGTCACCGCCACAGGGAGACAGTGAAGATGGAGCCTCAAGCTCAAGACCCCTTGATTAAGACAAGGCTGAATCCATGTCCAGGAGAAATGCCACCTAGCATGTTAACATATGAAATACGTCTTCTAATCTTTCTCTGTTTTTAATTTATCTTTATGCTCGGGATATTGTTGTGTTCACCATGAAGTCAGTTTATAACACTGATCGATCCACAATTAAGTGCTTTTGTGTTGCATATATGTTCATATATGAAGTATAGATAGATTTGTAAATTTTAATATAATATTTAACATTTCAAGGTTAAAGGGCAAAAAAATGTTACTAAGAAGGCGTGCAAACTATTTGTGTATTGGCCCTATTAAAAACCTAAACAAAAGTGCTTGTATGAATGAGGCAAGTTGTGTAAAGTGCTTTGAGTACTCAGAGTAAAAAAGTGCTATATAAGAACCAGTCCATTTACAACCCACCCATGTTTAGGTATTATTTTCTTGACCAAAAAACAAATGAATGTTTGTGGATCATAATAGAGCAGAGAATCAGGCTGCTGCCACCTAGAGGTTTATTAAAATACAGTAAAAATACTGCTACACTGCACATTTTTTGTGAACA